GGTAGCAGTGTGCGAAAATATTGAAAAACGCATGGTTTCTTAAGATTCCGCAAGAACTCGCATGGAAGCTTTTTTAGCAAATATGTGTTGCGACACCTTGTGTAACGGTAGGTTCTTTGGACACACGATGTTGAAATCCTTCCGAAACCGATGGGTTATGAAGGTTTCCGGCATACGCGCGCGACGACGCGCGCGTCTGCATTTTGTATTTTTGTGTTAAAGGATTCTCGCGACGGCACACGCGCAAGGGCGTTCGACAGATTTCGACACTCGCGCGCGCGAAGCCCGGTTGGTAGCATTTTGTGAACATCTTGAAAACACCAGTGGTTTTCTTAAGATGTCGCAAGAGCTCGCGCGGAAGTTTTTTTAGCAAATCAGTGTTGCGAAACCATGTGTTTTTGTACGTTTTTGGGACACACGATTGCGAAATCCTTCCGGCACCGAAGGTTTTTGAAGGATTTCGGCATGCGCGCGCGACGACGCGCGCGCGTGCACTTCGCCCCGTTTTTTTTGCAAGGGATTCGTGAACAAGTGTAATGTTAGAACAAAAAATGTCACCGCATAGTGTTTTTTACAAAGGAACCTCAGGGGGGGGGTACCGGCCCCCCGGGGATAGTGTACATTCATATTTCGGATGGACATGTGGTCATAATCGTATGATTAACATACCCGAAAGGGGTAGTGATAACGCCGGAGGGGGGGGGGATAGATCCTACTCTGCTTTTAGAAAGGAGAATTAATTTCTGTTCGCAAGAATTGACCACTCCACTGCTCGCGCAAACATCCCACCCACCCACCCGCGACTTGGTTTGCGAACTCTCTTAAGACCGTGACGGTGGGTACCAAATCGCACTTGGCAGCGACAGCGACGCCGACGACGACAGCGACAACGACGACGACGACGCCGCCGACAACGACGACGACGACGACGCCGACGACGACGCCGACGCCGACGCCGATGACAACGACGATGCCGACGACAATGACGACGCCGACGACGACGACGACGTCAACGACGCCGACGACAACGACGACGACGACGGCGACAACGACGACGACGACGCCGAAGACAATGACGACGCCGATGCCGAAAACGAAGACGACGACGACGTCGCCAACGAAGACGACGACGAGGGAGGAGGGAGGACGACGACGGCGACAACGACGACAACGACGAGGGAGGGGGGGGGGCGGCGACGACGCGAACAAAGAAGAAGGAGGAAGGACGGCGACGCCGACGACGGCAACGACGTGTGTGCGACGAGGGGCATGACCATGGAGTGTGCTCCGTCGGTTCTAAGACTGTCAGCATAGAGACAGCAGAGACAAAAAAAGAAGAAGGCGCTCCCCACCCTAGTCCTTCATGAACGTGTCGGGGATGCGGGGCTGGCCTCCTCGTGCCAGCCACGGGGCTCTGGCCTCGTGTGCAGCCTTGGCGGCGGCCTGGGTGCGGACCAGGCGCCTCTCCCTGGCCTGCGCTCGGTTGAAGGCGATCCTTGATCGCTGCTCTTCGGTGAGGGGGGGGGGGGGGGGAGGGGGGGGGCGGGGAAGGGGCGAGAGGAGAGACCTCCAAGGCCCACTGAGCTGTCGAAACAGACTGGCTCTGGGGATCGAAGAGCATTTCCTGGTCCATGGGATCAGGGTCCGTGGGAGGGGGGGCCAGGACAACTCCATCCCCCTCGGACTCAGGAAAAAACCTGTGCGACTCTGGATCGACCCTGCGACGAGAACACTTGTGGTTTCCAGCGAAATCGGGGGCCAGGGCAAATTCTTGGTCGCAGTCAGGTGTCCATGGAACGAAGAATCGCATGAGACTGTCTGTAATACCTGACTCGTCGAATTCGAAGACAAAATCTGCCTCGTTAATTGGAGCCACGATCTGCTGGGCGCTGTCCAACATGGACTTCGCGATCGCCTGGCATAGGTGGCTGGGATATGTCTTCTTAGCCTGGGTTCTCCACGAACCATCCCTTTTCCTACCAAGCAAGGTGAGATGGGCCCCTTTGCCGTGGGAACAGCGTCCCGCTCCTGGCGTGTTCGTGAGAGCCTCTGGTAGCGTGGGCATTCGAATTCCAATGATTCGGGTAGGGGCTCTTCCTATCTGCGACGCGTCAGAAGTGGCCGGGTGATGCTCGCACTGATCAAAGTCAGTCATACTGGAAACGGGAGAGGAAACGAGGGCAATGAGCGGGGGCCATCGCCAGGAGGAGGGGGCATCGGGGACCCAGGAGGCGGGGATAGGATGTTCCGTCCACCCACCCGTCCCAGCACGCATGTGTTCGCACAGCATAAGCACTAACGCCTGGAGGAGCTGGCCTCCGATGCGGAGCTGGTCTTGTTGCCTGGGCGTGCAGCCTGGGATTCCCCAAAAATCGTCTAGGGTGCGGAGAGGGGGGGCCCCTTCTTGCCAACGCGCGGCACTCCAAGTCTTGCAGGGCCCCCCCCTGTGTTGAGCACCCTTCGGTCACGAATGTGACCAATCCAAAACTTGATAGAGTCGTGCTGAGTTAAATCGCCTCGCTCGTTATCGATCGCAATGTCGATCGAGGGGCAGAAGATCTCGCGCTCCGGGAGGGGGTGCGACGAGGAGAGATGCCACTGCACATCACCGCTTCTGCGTTGCGTTTCCCACAGAACAAGTTCAGCACGAAAAACTGGGCTCTGTAAATTCTGACGGGGAGGGGGTCGGCAGCGGTGTGGGCGTAGTCCTGGGGCCGAAAGGGCCAGTGGCGGTCTTCAAGACCTTCGCTTTGGACCGCAGGGGCCGCGACCCCAGACAAGGCTAAATATTGAGTGGCCGCCTCCTTTGTAAAAAAAACCGAGTCGAAACGCAGCGACACTTCGCGGGCCTCAGAGTCGGTCAGTAGAGCGATCACATGTTGTGCGAAGGGGTCCTGGGCAGCACGACCTCGGGCACGTCCTCGTACCTGGATAGCTGGGGCCCCTGGGCGCCATCGGCCCAGACCTGCTGCTCGTTTCTGTGCGGCTGTGTTGGTTGCTTCCTCGTTAAGTTTCTCGATCTGATCGTAGGAACAATCGTGGGGCGTGCTGAGCATGGCCAGCGCGCACTTCGGAGACGAGAAAGCAAGATGTTCGACTAATGGTTTGCGTGCTGCGAACGTAGTCTGACAGTGCCGACGTTGCCTGGTGTGTCCAAGATGTGTGCGCACTCTATGTATGAACGTTAAATGCTCGCGGGCCGTGTGCTGCTTGAAACCCTTGATGGTGTCAAACTTCTCAGGGCACCATAGACACGTGTAGGATGGCATGGTGGCTTGATCCTGGACCCTCAGGGGATGACTGGGATCAGTAAAGGCCTTCGGCACTCCCGCATCGTATAAAACCGGGCAAGCTTCGGCCTCCGCGACAGCGGAAAGAGTAGTTCTAGTATGATGTGAAATATGGGCCTGCAGGGCCGCCTTGAAGATGGCCTTCCAACGCGCCCCATAGCCTAAGATGAGCGATTCCCAAGCTGCGAGGTCCTCGGAGGCCTTGGGGAGCTCCTTCAAGCGATAGTGGTGCTGTCGGACCCACTCTAGATCTTGTATGATCTGTGTAACCACGAGTTTGTGCCCAAGGTGGCGCAATACCCCACTAGAGCCAGAAGGTGTGCTGGCCCATGATGCAAGAGTCTTCCAAAAAGCCTCGGCCTGTGCACCCGCAGCATGGAACCTAAGTCTGGCTTGGCAACTTTGGCAAGGATCTGCGCCGTTGATAGCGCTGTCTTGTCAATCCTCGGGCAATGGATGACAGCTCTGTACATGCGAACAATATCGTCGGCCAACTGGGCTGACTGCGCCAATGCTAGAGTCGGCCAAGTGCATGCTTGATACAAACGGCTTGAACACGTAAGGGAATCGATCCATATCATGCCGATACGATTCTCGAGGCGCGGGTCTCTAACGACGCTGCTAAGCTTCTTCCACTCTGCAACTGTAGCTTGACGGCGATGCTCTAGCTCGGGTCCTAAAGAGCAACCTTCGTCGAGAACAGCTCCGAGGTGCGTATATTGTCTAACTGCGTGTAGGTCAAGTTGGCCATATAACCTAGTGACAAACCGAATAGTGCCTCCCCACTGCAGCCAGAGTCGCCGTTTCGCTATGTCGGATCCTTTGCCTCGAAGTTGGAAAAGGGCAGCGGATTTCCCCTTGGCGGTATGTAGCTGAATACCCCTGGACCCGAACGCGTCGAAGATGATGCTGGCGGCGAATGGCGCAAGCCGTATAAGGTCGGACGGACTTCCTAGCAGCATGAACATCGCATCGTCGAAAAAAAAGCCATTTCCATAGAGTGGTCTGTATGTGCGTGTTGCGTGTCCTGGTCCAGGTACGTACTAATAGAAAGGGCCTCCGAGACAGGAATACGTAACTCAATCCCAAGATCAACCAGAGCGTCCTGGGCTTCTTTGGCCACTCGGGCCATGGCGAAATTGTAAACCAGGTCCCCCAATTGCTGACCAGGTCCCGTACCCTCTTGGGGAAAAGCCATGGTAGAGCTCCCTGGGACAACGAACCAGTTGGACTGGTAGCAGTCCGCCACCTGCGCGTGGAGCCTCTTGGGGAACTGCGGAGCCCCCATGATGGGCCCATGGGTCTTGATCTACGCCTCGAGTTCATCCATGGCCTCTGGTGGAAGCCCTGCAGACTTGAGGATGTCTCGAAGACAAGCTCCCTGACCGATCTGTAAAAAGCCTGCGCAACATCTGTAAGGAAAAACCACGCGGACTGACCCGTCTGGAGGCCGATCTGCTGCATGGTGCGAACTTCCAGTGCTGCAAAGTCTGTGCCGCCATGAGCAACTCCTCCGTACTGACGGGGGCCAGCTAGCGGCAGCAACAGAGGTGCCACATCTCGCCGCAACAGACTTCGAAACCGTTTCCCCAGCTGGGACGACCCAAGAATGGATCGGTAATTGAGACGGGAAGCTGGATTGCTTTTTTTGTGCAGGGGCCGGTAAAAACCTCCCTTCCACTGGATAGGCTCCGAGAAGCGTACCTGGGCCTTAAGGAACAGTGGCAGCAGCAACGGAGCCATCTCGCCAGCAAGCTTGCGGACCATGTTGCCTGTGATGCCGTCTGGTCCTGCTGCTGACGGCTTAGCTGAGCGTAAAGCTTGCAACACCTGGGCGGGCCATAGTGTAAAGATCATCCGGGGCGAACGCGATGCGATCGAGGAGCTCCTGGGGCAACTCCTGGATCCCTGAGCTGTACCAGGCCAGGTCCGAGAAGGGTATGACAGGACCCGCTTCGATAAGGGCGAAGTGCTGTGTCCACATGTCTGCAACGGCACGTTCCGAGTCGAGCGGATTTTCGCCGAAACCGTTGAGGATGGGTAAAACTCGACGCCGAACCTTCTTCTTGGAGCCTGCCCCGATGGATCTCAGCCTGCGAAAAGCCTGGAGGTGATCCCGCCTCGACCATTCAATGGATACATCTGTGGCTATTTCTTGTGCATGCATGCGCGAATCGGCTCTGAGCTGCAGGTTGACCACTTTGGTCGACAAAAATAGGCTGGCGTGCCGCGTGGCCTGGATGACCTTGGCACCTGCTGCAAGCGCATTGATGATGATCGTGCAGCTACCTTGTGCGATGGTGTCGTTAAGCCCTGTGAGCTCGAAGCTCTGGAGTCGGTCAGGCCGACGTCTAGAAACCGTCTAGAAACCTTGTGAGCCTCCGGGTAAACCTCCAACTCGGACAAGAGCTTCTGGATCCCAGATAGCCCCTGGGCAGCGCCTTTAATAGCTTCCCCAATGTATTGATGCCAGCTCCGAGCTCCAGAGTCGAGCGGTCGCAGCGCGAAGCGCCAGGATAGCTGTCGATAAAAGAACCAGGGCCCCCCGAGCGGTGTAGCCCAAGCTCGAAAAAGGGTGGCCATAGCAGCTCTTTTCCAGGACTTGAAGGTGTCGCGAAAGTGCCTGAGGAACCCAGCTCTGGTGTCCATGTGCTCGAGGGCTTTAGTAGACACCCAAGCTTGCCTAGGCTTTCTTCCATTGTCGGTCTTCTTGTGTGTGTGTGTGTGTGTGTGTGTGTGGGGGGGTGGGGGTGGGGGGGGGGGCAAGGCGGTGGCGATAGCATCCTGCAAGTAAGTAGTGAGTTGTTGGCAGTGGTCCGCAGCATGAACTTGAAACTCTGGCTGCGGCGCTTGTAAACGTAACTCTTGAAAATGTTGCCGAGCCTTCGTGTTGCAAAAAAAAGAGATTCGTCGCGCTTGATGCGTGGGTGTGCGTGCTGCTCTGGACCCTGCCGCAGCAAGGGAATCTTAGCCATGATTGAGACTGCCTTATGATCGGTGATGGTGATGGCCAGCTCTATATCGTGGGCCACTCGAGCGTCCTGCACGGCCACAGAGTGTGAGCAAACCACATAATCGATGCGCAGTCCTTTCTTCCCCTCCTGGTGCTACGGCGAATGCCAAGTGGCACCGCTGGGGCCTGGGCAGGGGAGGAAGGTAGAGGGGGCCCAAAGCGACCTCTCGAGCAACATCTCGTGGAAAAGCGAGCCCGTCTCGTTCTCGGGGGCCTCGTGGACGCTGCCAGCACTCGACGAGACGACGGAGCCCATGGTGCCATTAGAATCCCAAAAGTGAACCTCCGGTATGCCAGGTTCCAGGAGCTTGCCCAAGAGTTGCCCCGTCTCAGACCGCCATTGCTGAAGCTTCATCTCCTGGGTGACGCTGTGTGGTCCGTGGCCTACCACCACGTTGCAGCGGAGAGCGTCAGCTCTAATAGCAACCACTAACAACCTTGGGCTGGCGTGAAGAACTCGGCATTGCTGGGCATTCAAACGGCAGCCGTCTGCGTAAGTCAGCCTCAGGTTAATCCAGAGAGAGCAACCAAAACGGCGATGCTGATCAGCTCCGGCGTGTAAGACGACGTATTCCCCAGTGTTGGTACATCCGTCCCTAGGGTAACGCGTTTCACACGTGCCCGCCAAGAAAACCTGGGACCTCTTGAAGACAGAAGCCAGGTACGCCATACGTCCAGGAAGGTAAAATCCCGAAGCCTTTTTCTGACGGACGGCCTTGAGGTCCAAAGTAAGAACGTTGGCCGTGATCATGCGCGAGGACCGTGTAGTGGGGCCCATACTTGTGTGTGAGCCTGGCCTCCCGTCCGAGCCCTGTCCCCTGGGCTGTGGCTGAAGGTCTGCAAGCTGAAAAACTGTAGGATAGCTGTCGCGTAATAGCGTAAATGATCCCCTGCAGCCGGTGGGTATTGCGCTCTTGCGGCGATGGGTTGTGCATCCAGCCAAGCCCATGCCAAAGTGCTCGTGTTCGTTCGGCAAGCCTCCTGCCAATGATCTGGGAGGGCCGTGGGCGCAAGATACTGAAGTGAAACAATTCTGCATAGTGTGTCGGCGAGCTCATTCCATGGCTGAGCTGAATGTCCTGCAATATGCGTCAGTAAAAGCCTCTGGAAACGCGCCTGGACTAGGAGGGACAAACCGTTGAGTACTCGGCGGTGGGCCTCCAGAGCCCCATATGGCCCCAGCACGCATAACGTCCAGAGCTCCCAGATTATCCCCATAAGCGGAAATTGCCAGTGAATCGCACCCAGATTGCAGGGCCCAAGCGAGAGCCCATTGAGCAGCAAGGATCTCAGCCAATAAAGAAACCAAGTAGTTCGAAGTTCCTCCAGGATCAAAGCACTGCATGGCGTATCCCAATAGAGCCTGGTCCCCCTTGGAGTCGGTAACCAGAACCACGAACGCCCAACTGGGGGGGCCCGTACAAGGAGCTCCTTCGGGGATGCTGGCGCGTGTAGGGTACATGCTGCCACCGCCTGATCCGTCTGTGTAAATCTCGAGTGAGACCCATTCTGATAAGTCCTGTAGGGTAGAGAGACCTTACAGGGCAGAAACAGTAGATGAATGAAGAAACTGAGGTAAACCCAGTATGTCCTGGTCGAGTTGGACTCCCCAAGGAAGATGGGGCATGCCAGCAAGAGCCGAGGTGTGTGGGAGAGGCGACCGATCGCACCCTCCGAGGAAGGCATGTTCATCCCAGGGGACGTCAGGGGGTGTAGGGCACCCCTGATCTGATGTTTGGTACTCCAGAGGAGAGAGGTCCTGCATGCGTAGCTGGCGTGCTGCTCTTGCAGCGCGTCGTTCCTCAACTCTCCTCCGCTGCTCGAAAAACTGCTCTGCTTGCGAAAGGAAGGGGCCCGTGCCAGGGGCGGCCGTGCCCGATGGTGGAGTCGGTGATTCCTCCTCGTACGGCAGCGTCTGGATCTTGTGCGCTGGTGCGTCCTCGGGCGTCGTATCCTCCTCGGGCCTCTTGCGAGGCGGTGGGGTGGTAGGATCTGGTGGTGCAAGAACTCCCAGGGCAACTGCAACTGCGCGCTCCTCTGCCGAGATATTGGGTAGGTCGTCCTCGTCGTGGTCGCCTGCTGGTACATCCGCTCCGTCCGCTGACTGAAAGCCACGGGCGGGGCCCCATCGAAGGGGGAGCTGGCCTGGCGGCGGCGGCTTCGCAAAAGCTCGACCTGCGGCCCTCTGCCCAGTTGGCATGTGCCGTGGTGGGGCTTGGCCAGGGCCCGCCGTTGGGCCGCCCGCGGCGGCGGCAACTGCGTGCTGCCGTGGCGTTCCCGCGTGAGGCTGCTGGGCTGAGTGGGCGTTCGCGGGGGCTTGTCCCTTGCCCCTGGCGGCTGCGCCACGGGCGCCCTTGTCCATGTTGCTGTCGGTGGATGCTGCATTGGCTTGAGTCTGATGCTGCAAGCCTGCGGCGACCGCGCTGAGAGATGATTGCAGGGCTGCAAACTGTGTAGTCAACGAGGCCAATTGTCCAGTTAGCGTGGCTTGTCCGTGTTGAAGTTGATGAATGACTGATGGTCCATGCGCTGGCGTATTCATCATTTGCGAATAAGGTGATGGCGCGAACGGTGATGTCGCCGCGGCACCTGGGCTGAATTGTCCTGGTGGCTGTGCTGTGCTCGATGGCTGGCATGTGGCTGGAGAAAAGGGCGACTGTGACATTTCCGTATCTCCATCTCCACCGAAAGTGACCGTCCTCTTCTGGGCGGCCGCTTGTGCTTCTGCTTGATCTGCTTCGGCTTGTTGTGGCTTGAACGTCTCCAGCAGCACCTCCGCCTGTTCTACGTCCTTCTCCAGCGCGATGCGCGCTGAAGTGGCCTTGGCGAGCTGTGGCTTGGCATCCGACTCTGTCCCCGCTGCTGTCTGCAATCGAGCCCGAGCACGTTCGAGGTGCATGATCTGGTTGTTGGTGCGCTCTCGTGGGGGCTGAACCGCAATGTGCATGTACAGGATGGTCGCGTACTCTAGCTCCAGCGTCTGTACCCGCTGCCCATTCATGTTGAGAGAACGTTGGCATGTCAGCTGCTGCTCGAGTGCTTTCAACGTACTCTTCAGGGTGGTCCGATGGTTTGCCAAATCCTTCACGTCGGTAGGCGGGTCCAGCTGGGGCGCGATCTGGCCGCCTCCGCGGATGCGGGGGGTATGCTCACCGAAGAGGCAATGGCGTTCCCTGTGGCGGCAGGCGCTGGGGTATCTGAAGTCGCCTTCTGATTCCTCCTCCTGCTGGGCGCCTTTGACCTGGGCTTGTCTCTGGACCTGCGGGCGTTCTGCTGGGGCGGAAAACGCCATGAGCAAATCTTCTGACTTGGCCAAGTGTATGTGCCGCATGATGAGCAGCACCAAGAGCCATCTGAACGGCCGGCTCCCTGCTGCGTAGACTGCGATGGGGCATCTCCCTTGGTGCCGCCAGCCGCTCCTTTGCCACCTGGGGATTGGGCGCTGGCGGCCGCCCAGGGCGGCGGGGTGCCCTGCGGCCGCATGGCGCTGTGATGCTGAGATAGTAGTCGTCTGGCTGCGGCGAGGCGGACGAGCACCCTTGCTCGTCCTCGCTGTGCGCGAAGTCGTCTGTGCCAGGACGGTTCGCCCTGACGTCCTGCGTGGTCACGGCCACCTGGGCGATCCCCGCGCGGCAGCACTATGGCGGCGGCGGAGAACGCGCCTGGGGCGCGTCTGGCAGCCTTCCCGAGGAGGGGCTCGCGGTTACCTGGTAACCGCACCCAGGGGCCCCTCGAGCCGGGATGGCGGCTCGGCAACGACGAGGGAGGGGGGAAGACGACGACGACAACGACGACGACCACGGCGACGAAATAGGAGGGACGAGGATGAGACGCCGACGACAGACGACGACGACGAGGGAGGAGGAAGGACGACCACGGCGACAACGACTACGGAAACGACCACGACGCCAAAAAGGACGACGACGACGAACACGAGGAAAGACAGAGGACGACGTAGGCGACGACGCGGGAGGAGGGAAGACGGCGACGACGACGACGACGCAAGAGCGCGCACACGCTTTTGTTGAACATCCGTGTTGCGAAGCCTTGTGTTTTTGTATGTTCTTTGGACACGCGATG